AAACTCCTTAGAAAACTTTTTCAAAACCCAACTCTCATGCCATTAGAAAGAGGATCATGAAAAACCTATAAAAAAATGGTTCATGAAATTTTAGTTCACTCATAAAGCTAAAGTCTGTCTGCTCTAGCAAAAAATGCCCATTGTGTTAGGCTTTTAGAATATGTACTTTGAGTTGAAATTCGAACATGTCTTCCTGTAGAAAAATCAAAAATATTGAATTGACAGACATGTTACCAGTTTTCTGTCCACTGACATTAAAGTTGAGTTATCTCAGTAGATATAACAGCTAGAAATCTATGGTTAGTGCAGAAAGATAAAGAGTTGAAAAGTCTACAACTTCACAAAAAAAGTTCGCCTTAAGCGTGAGTGAAAAGTATAATGATAGAGTCTTTACTGAAAAAATGATTTTCACAGTAAATGTCCACCGACATTTTCATTTTTCTTTTGATTATTACTCCTGGTTGGTAAGTCGGTTTAGATTCAAATGTCTATCCTTTTTCAAACACGTGAACTACTATATATACTAAGGATACCAGCTGGAAATTTCTTTTTCTTGTTGCTATATACAAAAAATAAGGACCAACATTTTTTCTGTAAAAGATGTCCACCGACGTTTGATAGATTATAGGTCTAACTAACGATAATATGCTTTTTTTCCGTCTGTGTTTACACTATGTATATATACTATTAATTTTCCAAATTCATGTCATTATCCTGAAATGAATCTCCAAAACTAAACCCACCATAAATTAGAGTTTGTATAAAAATCTCATTATGTTCTTTATAACCGTTATACCCAATTTTCTCTCATCACCCTCACCCTCCCTAGTGAGAATCTTACTCAAATCTTAATAATATCTTAGAATAATCGACAAGTTTTCGATCTTTTATCTTTCGAGCAAATTTTGACAAAACCTTTTTATTTCTCTAAAAAATTTCAAAGGCACATCATCTGATGCAGTGTTTGACGCTGATTCCAAATATCGCCTTATTTTTGTTTTTAAGTGAAGTTTTAATGAGTATAGTCTCAAAAAACTGAAAACTTGCGGTTGGTCGGCCATCTTGTTTTCAAGTTTTGGAATTTTTGCACCACTCATCAAAGATATGCAAAATAAGCTTTTGGGTGTTATATATGTAGCACAGTGTGTCATAATCATACGAACTCCTTTTTTTCAGCCAAAGCTGGAACCAATCTGAGTACTCTTTTGAATAGCCCAAAGATTTTTCTACCAGAAGAGGTCATATCGCCATTTTATGAGGAAACTTGATGAGCGCGATATAAGCACAAATTAACGTAATACTTTTAAAAAATGTTTTAATACAGACAAGCAACACGCTAAATACATTCAAACAACACTGTAAAAAAATCAGTGAGCCTTATCGCCGTATTTATCTGTACCATAAATTCGTAAAAACGGCTTACAAAAATGTAATAAGTCATACTGGATAGAAATGATTTAACTGATCACCGTACATTCTAATGACGAGAACAAAATAGTAGATAATGAATAGAATGTATGCAAACAAAGTGCGCTCATCCATGTTTATTGTCATTCTCAACGTTAGAAGGTCGAAAAAGAGTAGAAAACGCATTGTCCTTTTACCTTTTGGTTTTTCGTTTGGTGAGATCTAAAGTAAATTTTTTCGCTGCACTGTGAATTTTATTTGTTATTTTAGCTTATTAGTTCATTCATTGTAAACAATACCAACGTTGTAAATCGTTAAATATTCACAGTCCTAAACACAACATTAGAAAATTTGCCGCTTGCTCCGAGCTGAACCAAATTGGATAAAAATTGGACGCCAGGTACACAGTTTGTCGGTGAATCCGAGAGCGGGTTCCTTATAATTACATCTCCACTTTTGTTTTGGCGTCGACATAATCAACGTGGTTTTTGCCTAAATTTTATTTTTCTCATTGGTTGAAAAGAAGGCGCCAATGAGAAAAGTAAAATTTAGGCAAAAACCACGTTGATTATGTCGACGCCAAAACAAAAGTGGAGATGTAATTATAAGGAACCCGCTCTCGGATTCACCGACAAATTTTGCATTTGGCCCCCAATTTTTATCCAATTTGGTTCAGGGCGGAGCAAGCACCAAATTTTCTAATGCAAAGCATCGTTCTATCGAAAATTGACCCTGTTGCATCTATTTCTTCCACTTCTCAGCGTATTGAGCTGTACTATAAAAACGTCGAATCATCTTCTACTACAAATCTAAAGAGCATACACGTCTTCGAAGAAGATCATGTCTCGCATCAATATAAATAAAATCTAAACTATCATCTTTTAATTCGACAACAGCTAAATTGCTAAAGTTACGGTGATAATGAAGGACTTTTTCAAATCTTTTCAGACGTTGTCTTGCCATTTGATAATTAGTTTCTTGGAGATCATCACGTACATTAGCTATGTCTGAATAAATTTTTTGATGTGCCCACAAATCAATAACATGATCTTAACAAAATTTCGGATAATTAAATTGAAAATTAAAACTTTTCGTTAGCGCATTTTGACATGGTCAGCATTCCCTGAAACTTTGGTGCAGATCAGGCCTATCTGGACTGAGATACGTCTCTAACCTGGAAGGAGGGGGCCTTGAATAAACTTTAAAAAGTATTTTACGTGAATCAAGCACAGGCGTCTGTATACTGAAAACCATCAGTTTTATAACTACAGTTGAAATGACAAGTTTTTGAGCTGAATTATCAGAGCATCGCCCGTTCAGTTATTGGTTTTAATAGTACTTCAGTATTGGTACATCTTCTCGCCAGATTTTTAGATTAATTATTGATTTAGCGTACGTATATGTATACAAATAATAAATGGCTTCTATTGATAGTGATAATACTCTATTTGTTATTAATCGGTGCACTGCATCTTGTACGAAACACAGAAATTATTACTTATACCACATGTAGATCATTACCTGAGCCATTACCACTTTACGCCTCACGTAACCAGTTTGCGGAACTAATAGCAAATGAACGTTTAACCACTGGTGCTGAAATTGGTGTTCAAAAGGGTATATTTTCTGAAATTTTGTTAAGAAATTGGACAAACTGTGCGGAATATCATGCTATTGATTTGTGGGCACATCAAAAAATTTATTCAGACATAGCTAATGTACGCGATGATCTCCAAGAAACTAATTATCAAATGGCAAGACAACGTCTGAAAAGATTTGAAAAAGTCCTTCATTATCACCGTAACTTTAGCAATTTAGCTGTTGTCGAATTAAAAGATGATAGTTTAGATTTTATTTATATTGATGCGAGACATGATTACGTCGGTGTTAGGGAAGACTTAAAACTATACTGGCCAAAATTGAAACGCAATGGTATATTTGCTGGACACGATTATTTAGACTTGAGTGAAGTCAAAGCACGCGCTCCTAAACAAGATTGGTCCGTTGACGCTAATGGGGTCAGACGAACCGATAATAAAGCTGTTAAAAGTGCAGTGAATGAATTTGCCAGAGAACATAGCTTACAAGTATTACAAACATCTCAAGAAAAATACCCTAGCTGGTATTTAAGAAAATACCTATAAAGCAATACCGAAATTTTGAAAGACTTTGGACAACTGCCAAAATTCTTTCCAGATTTGGACAATAAAAGTGATCTAACCCGGATGGTCGTATGTTTTATTTGTACTCTAGCATTGCTACTTGTAGAATAGGGTAATAATTATTATTTGTGAAATTCTTTCGAAATTTCGACAACTGCCGAAATTCTCGGCGAAATTTGACAATATTGTCGAAATGCCGAAAGAATCGTGACTGCCGAAATTCCGGTTGGCGGAATACCGATTTATCTTTTAAATGCAATCATCCCTTTTTATTCGTGTCAAGTCCATTAGCGTTTACAGCAGTATTGCTATTCCTTACTATGTGGAAAAGACGTATGATCATAGTAACATGTTACTAAAATGTGTCCTTCTGATGACGAGCTGACACGTGCGGCTCGTATATAGAAAATGAAAACTGATAAGATCAAAAGAGGAGAAGACTAAAAGCGGTACATTTGATCTTTATAGTTCAACTCTATTTTCTTTTTGCTTATCTGTTTTCTGCTCTAGAATTGCCATTTGATAGGATTTCTGTTCTGTAACGAAGCAACAGAAGAGGACTACAGTTACTCAGAAAACCTAGAAAGCTCGGTAAATATGTTCTAAAACACCTATAAAGCATGAAGATTCCGGATAGACGTTGTCGTTCCTTTGAAACAATCACTTTTTTCTAATAGCGCTATGTTCAATGAGAATAAATGCTACTCACTTAGCGACATCTATAAAAATAATTATCTGCGCAACTGTTGAGGCGTCATTGATGAAACTTTCAGAAAATGTATAACTAATAGTCGTTATTCATTGCACAAAATTTCACCTCAATCTGTCTGACGAAAAAAGTCGATTTTTTCAACTCTCTCATAATGATAAAGAACAGCAATAATATTTACATCCTTCAAATCTGTTTTTTTCCTTGTTAAGTCTGTTTTAATGGCTATGTACTTACAACTCTAAAAATGTGAATGTTTAGGTACGAAAAGCGTGGCAGATATATTATGCTAGTTTTAGTTGTGTATAAGAAAATCAGAGAAAAGAATCACTATAAATGTTGTATTATGTGCATTCCATTAAATCTGAAAAATGGACTAAATAATCTCTAACGAGGGATCGGCCCGAAATATCCGATAGTTCTTTGGATAAAAACGAGAGATAATCCATAATACTCATTCCGATAACGTCAGAGTGGAGGCGGCGTATGGAAAGGAGGGATGTCCGGATTCGCGCAATTTCGGAACTTCTCTCTTCCTACGAGAATTTCTTCCCTCTCACAGACATTTCTCTAATGACCAAATCACGAAGCTCAGACTACACAAAAGTTTCTCTCTTTTCACGCTAACTTCTCTTCTTCATCCAGAATATCTCTCCTGTCTAACACGGATTTCTCTCATTTCAGGCTTGTCTAACAACAATTACTCTCTTTCGACGGAAACTTCTCTTCTCCCTCGAGAATTTCTCTCTTGGCTAACACGAATTTCTCTCATCTCACGAGAATTTCTTACTATTAACAGGATTTTCTCCCTATTCACAGGAATTTCTCTAATGATCAAACCAGGAAACTCAGACTTCACGAGAATTTCTCTTTTTCCACGGGAACTTCTCTTCTCGCACGAGAATCTCTCTCCTGTTTAACACGAATTTCTCTCATTTCGCGAGAATCAGGCTTGTCTAACAGGAATTAGTCTCTTTCCACGGGAATTTCTCTTCTCGCACGAGAATTTATCTCTTGGCTAACAAGAATTTCTCTCATCTAACGAGAATTTCATCCTATTCAGAGGAAGTTCTCTAATGATCAAACCACGAAAGTCCGATCACACGAGAATTTCTCGCTTTCCACGGGAACTTCTCTTCTCCCTCGAGAATATTTCTCTTGCCGAACCAGTAGTGGAGCCAGGATTTTTGGCTAGGTAGGGCTCAGCCCTCAAGATTTTTCGACCCGTTTTAGGCATATCAAATTTATCTATTAATATTAATAGTGATGTAATGTAGACTTAATTCTTTTCTATCCTGACTCTTTTCCGATGACATGAGTCGGATTAAGAAATAGTAAAAGCAAAAAATGTTCAATTACTTATCTCATTGAAATAACAACAGCGACAATAAATAAGACAACAAAAAAATATTCGATTTTATATGTCTTTGAAATAACAATAACGATAATGGCAACATATAAAACAAGAAAAATCTTCCGATTTACTATCTCAACATAATTCTTGTATTCTTATGATTGGCAGAAAAATCGTCAACGACGTGGCCAAAATCAATTTTGAAATCTCGTTCCACTGCTAGTAAACATAAATCACTTAAACGTTCATCGCTCATAGTATTTCGAAGGGCAATCTTTATTGCTTTCATTTTCGAAAACGACCTTACACAAGATGCTGATGTAACAGGTATTGTCATTGCACCTTGAATCATTAGAACAGCATTGGGAAAAGCTTGTGTGAATGAAATTAATTCGCAACGTAATTCTTTGGTATCAGATAAATTTTTATTCTTCAAGAATGATCGTAATACATTTAATTCATTTTGTAATTCATTAGGATTAATATCCAAATGTAATTCAGATGGTTTGACTATTTCAAAATCTAAGAATTTTTCATGTTTTGAACATAAAGATGATATACTGCTTAAAAGTTCCATAGCTTCACTTGAGAACCAATGATTTAATTCGATTAAAACACTATCAATTAATGGATAATAAATACTTGTACGATATTGTTCTTGATTATCAGCATAATCTCGATGTCCGATTGTTACTGGAATCATTGAAACGTGCTGGTACCTTTTTTTGTCGTCCTTTTTGTCTTGGTTTTTGACTAATACCAATGTCATTTTCTTTACAAAACTGTACAACTTTACTGTATAACGATTCAAATGAACTATCACCACGATAGCTTTTTCATTTGCTCGATAATTGAAGAAATTAATTGTCTTGCTTTTCCATAATCCAATGATTCCTCTAAAGAGAATAGAGAAATTAATGATATTTAGTAGAATTGTTTTCCTTTAATAAAATTCGGGTTATCTTAAATAAATACCTTGTAACTGACTGGTCAAAATTTTAATACGTCCAACTATTTTATGTATTACAAATAATGTAACAACGAATAGTGGTTCTTTAAGAGCAATCAATAAACCATTAGCATCGACGGACCTTGCGTCACCATCGTCGACTAAATCATTTAATGCTTTAAAAATCGCCTGATAATTATTGACAATGGCATCTATTGATGACCATCTACTATCCCACCTTATGTATGACCATTTTTTAAGTTTTGTTGTCGTATCTAAAATGCAAAAAAAAGAGAAAGTGAACACAATCCTTTTAAAAGAGGTGCTAAAAATAGTTACCAGATTGTAATAATTCTTGAGCATTTTTAAAATACACACTGGTTACACCCGATGCAGTAAAATACGTAGTGATTTTGGATATTATTGAATAAAACTCGCTACAATAGGTAACCACTTGACTTATATCAATTATCACAAGGTAAAAGGAGAGAAATTTTGGTGGAAGGAGAGAAATTCTCGTGTTAGGATACATATTTCTGCTGACTTGCAGGGCAATGCGTGCTGGCTGAGAGAGAAACTCTCGTCGAAGTTCTGGTGTGAAAGGAAATTCTCGAATTTTGTTAAGTCTGATGTCTGAATAATAATAAAACAAAGCATATCTGCTGTGAAAAGTCCTGCGGATATTGAGAAATTCTCATGGGGAAAGAGAAGTTCCGGAATTGAAAGAATCCGGACACTGCTGATGGAAAGTCACATTTCCATCTACATATTCCTCCATCTCATTAAATCAGCCGACGGGAATACAATGACTTTTGAGCTGGATGAAATTTCATCTTTTTTACTTACTACGTACTGTTCTAAGTGGTATGAGTCGTTCCCCTCCTGTTGACCTTAAACGATTTGGATTTAAAACAATAATGCGTGTTGGAAAATCGTTGGAAACCAGATATAAACAAAAACAGGGCAAAGAACGTGAATCAGATACTATAAAATTAAGTCAAATTAAAACATTCAAAGTTTCATCTAGCGGATAGTCAATTATGACTATCGTAACTCTCTGTATATTTGTTGAACACGAAAACATTTGTAGAGTGCAACCCCCGAGTTGCAAAAAGAAAAAAATTCGAGGTTATATCATTTTAACTTCGTTAAAAAACGCGTTCAACAAAAACGCTAGACAACGGTTCATTCAACAATCTTTGACAAACGCGTTGTCGAAGAAAACGTTAGTCTAAAGTTCGAACGAAAAAAAACGCGTTTAAACTGTTCTTAACAATCGTTCTCAACCGCGTTAGGAAAAAACGCGTTTTTCGTGCCGTTTCGAATGATTTTTTCCTGAAATTGAAATTTTTTGTTATTTCGAACTGCTATCTACTCATTCTACTGCTCTTCATTAATTTGTTGTCAGCTTAATGTCAAGGAGATATGGTCAAACGGTAAAGGTGGAAGAATGGCGGGACAAAAGTTGAGAACTCAAACCTCTGTACCTTCCCTCGGTTTATGTTTTTGAATTATTCAAAACACTTAATTAACGTTTTCACTGTCGTTCATATTCATCGAAAACGGGGTTCTCTAACGCGTTGTGAAATTCCGAACGCCTTTTCAAACGAATAGTTAAAAAACAGGCGTTTAAACGACTAAAAACGGCGTTGGTTTTAGCACGTTTAGAACACGTGTTAGAAAAAACGCGATTTTTTGTCAATTTTTTAACTCCTGGATTGTGAGTTCAGACTAAATTAGTTTCATTTTGTATAGCATATCTGAGTCTGTTTAGATATACTCTTAAATTTAAAACATCAAATTTTTAGAAGAGCGACACTAAAACGATAATTTCTCTATTTCAAATATACTCTTCCTTTTGTTCAACTTATTAATGACTTTTCTTATCAAGGATGTTTTTTATTCATTACAAACTATATGTGTATAAAGTCAACATATGTCATTAATAATTTGAACAAAAAAGAAAAATAAGTAAATTCAACATTGATAACCTTGTTCAACAGAAACAAAAGTACGTACAGTCTAACTGCTGACGTTTGTTCTGTGTAAAAAGGTAAGTTTTAACAGACAAATAAAGTGTTTTCTTTTTAAAAGTATTTTATATTTCTAGAACGGGGTATCTTTATTCCGTTTGAAATATCACCACTAGATAGAAACGGATGTGGAATTTCTAAATTAGTTCGAATTACTTCTTTTTAATGTATGCTTAATGGAATTCTAAAAGAATGAATAAAGCCCAAAATATTTCTGCAGATTTTGACTTTTTCATAATTGCTTAAGTTACCGTTACTTTTTCGTTTATGTTGCCGGTATCGTAATTTGCTTTGCTACCATATTGAAGTGATTTGAATTTTTTTTTCTGTTAGATATAATTAAGTAAGTACCAGAAAGAGGCAAAAATGTATTTTCGTTGTTAAGAGTATATTAAACGTTGGTGTTTGCGATGTCTACTTTCAAAATCCATGCTTATTGTTAGCCGATAGCTTTAATATGTACTGTCAAAGAAAAGATCTATAGCTGATAAACATGTACGATTAACAAATTTATTTCAACTACTTTTCTTTTTTGCTGTATTACAGACTAGATTTTCCTAAACATGCATGAATTAGGAAGTAGTATGCTTTTTTAACAGAAATATTTTCTTTCTGGTACTTAGTAAATTATTTGCAATCGAAAAAATCAAATTACGTCATCACAATAACATGATAACTTGATACAATTTTCCTGTGTCCGAATCCCTATTCGTACAAAATTGATTTTGTGTTTTTTAATAGTTTTAGTTTAGAATACTACAATGGGATTTTAGACGTGCATTTCAGATGTTGAAACTAATATTGTTTTCATTTTTGTTATTTGTGTCTAAAACACATGAAAAATGTAATTTAGAAAATGATATGACTGGAATTATTATTTGTCTTGCTAATATAGCTACAGCATTTGAAGCTGTATTTACGAAAGGTAATGTCAAATAAATTTTTCTATCACGTTCTCACTCTTTGCTTTTAAGATTTACGAGCATTATGTAATACAGCAAATTCTCTAAGCGCATGTTTCAAACCTCATATGAGAGGATGTCTTGTTGAACATGTAAGTGTTTCGATAATATCGCTCCATCTTTTGAAACATGTGTTGCTGTCTATAGCTTACAAATGGAATTCTTGATGAAATATCCTATTTGGCTATTAACTGTTGTCCATATAAAGATGGTGATACACTTGGAAACTGCTATATAAAAGGTTTGAGAAGTTAGCAAAAACAAGTAATAATTACATTTTTGAATGTAAACTTTTTTATTTAGAAGTACAGACTGGTGAACAAAAATGTTTTTCAGCTGATAGTAGTGTTCAGCTAACAAATGGTCAACAAAAATTAGTTATTGAACTAAAACATGGAGATGAAGTATATGCTTTTGATCAGACAAATCAAAATATTATTAGCACAATTATTATTGGGATGCTTGACAATGAGCCTCATAGATTTGGTAGGTTTATTTAACTGAAAACATTTATAACGACATATTACTTTTAGATTTTTTTAAATCATTGGTTACATCTAAAGGCCATCAATTAACTCTATCTCGGAATCATTTGATACCCACAAAACAAAATGGTTATCTAATGGCAAAAGATTTAACACCGGGAATCGAAATTTACGTTGTTAATTCTGAAAATGCGTTGAAAATTGAGTCTATTTTGAATATTACTGATGTATGGAAACAAGGTTATGCAGCACCACTCACACAAAGTGGTACAATTATCGTCAATCATGTTGTTGCATCATGTTATGCAACGATAAACAGTCATCGGTTAGCTCATACAATTCTTGCACCAATGAGATGGTGGTATTCACTGTCTAGATATCTATCCTTATCAGCTAAAACTGTTACTCACCAAAAAGGTATCCATTGGTTTCCAAACATTATATTCAAAATAACATCGTACTTTCTACCATCGATTATTAACTAAATCTTCTACTTTTTTGGACATAAGCCATGAGAGTGAGTCAGCTGGTAACATTTAATCATCTGTATGACGCTGATCGTGACGCTGAAGTTGCGGAATAGGAAAGTGTCAGTTAATTTGAAAGTAATCTGTGATGTTTACGGTAACAATTTGAGTAAAAATTTAGTATAGATAAACAGCAGTTTTAAACTTTTGTTTGTTTGATAGTTAGATGTTTATTTGTCAACGTTTCGACAGTTTTACTGCCATTCTTAAGGCAAAGAATTTTATAATTGTGCAATGTAACATGTAAACAATACAGAAAGAGAAAAGTATAAGGAAAAGTAAAATAATGATTTTAAATTTATAGAGGTTTCCACTGGAAGCGGATATCAGTCAAACTTCATAAAATGCCAAATAAGAAACACGCTAAACAGATAGTATGAGAAGCGAAATGGGACAGTGGTAACTGAAACTGAAACCCATCAATTAATACAAGACACTACCAAAAAAGAACAAAAGATGGGGACTATTATTTGATGGAATCGGCCTCTGCTTGAATTCCATCGACACATACATGGTTTGATGCAGAATGAACAGGAGAATGTTTCTAGCCACTCGGCAGACCTCAGAAATGCTCTCAGAAAAATTGGTTCCAATTAACTGTAATCACTTCTGACCCGTATTATTGATCATATTTTCGAGCGTGTCGCTCTCGGCCTCATACCTCAGTAGAACTATTATATGTCATTCGAAAGCTCTTTTTCTGCGCTATATTTCTGTATATCACATATACGAAAATAGTCGTTTTGA